CTGCTGGTTTCTTTTATTCTCCTTTAGGCTACTGAGCACAGTACTCTAAATGCTTTCTAAATTGCTTTTTCTTTTTGTGTTTTCTTTTTATTTTTTCCATTGCTTTTCTTTATGTGTGGTGCTCTGTAACTTTTACTAAATAATATTAGATTCTAAAATATTCCTGAGAGACAGAGTAAAATGCAATTTTTTTTTCAAGTTCTTCTAAGGAGGGACAGAATAATAAAATTCAGTGAGCAAGATGTCTGTCACTTTTTAGATGTTAGAAGTCTTCACTTCCTCGTGCAACAGACTTGTTACTAGCATTCTGCAAAGGGCAGAGAGATCTTCTATTGTTTGTAAGGCCTGATTTGACTGATGAATGAGACTGTGAGCTGCAGTTGTTGTCTAGGCTTATACATGTGATGAGTAGCCCAGTCATCTTCAAATTGCCAAAGATAAAAGACACATTGAACTTTCCTCAACACTGTAAGAAGTGTCAAATTTGAGTTTCACAAACACCATTTATAAATTTAGCATCCTGTATTGCTGAAGAGTCATGAGATTTTGTGACTTTATGTGGATGATTTTAAAGTATATATCAAGACCATTATTAAAAGAATTTAAAATGAGCTTAGATTTCAGGGAAGGTTGAATCAAATTTTTGCAATACTACTTGAGGACTTTAAATACAATCTTGATTACAAGTGAGCTAAATAAATGTTTACAAAAGTTCCCATTTTTCCTGAGCATGGAAACCTTTAAAATATTTAGTAAGAAATGTCATTTTCAAACTCCTTGAAATTAGCAAAAGAGCTGCTCTTAAAGAATATTTCATTACATAATTTTATTTTTTTCTTATTTAATCAACAATATACACACAACTGAGATTATTTCTCCCATGCTTTCCCGCAGTTTTTGTGTTCAGACACTGATTCTTACTGGCTTCTTTCATACATGCAAATCCATGCTCAAACATATCAAGTCTGATAAAACTTGTTTAAATTAAATCACTCCCTTGCATATTTATTTCTACCAATAATAAAGCTAGATATTTTCAAGTTCTGAAACACAGAATTTCCCTTTTCTTACCTAGCATGTGCAATTTATCATTTGCACATATTTCTGCCATTATGGGGACCAGTAAGAATTTGAAGTATACTGTACACTTTTCTGCCAAATGTTCTGGCTTTGGCGCTTTGTATGAACTTGGGATAAAAATTCATATTTAGGGATTTAGTCAATATTGGAATTTCCCAGTATTGTAGCTTTTTGATGAATATTTCATAGCTATTAGCTGTTCTGCTGTAGAGTAAGAAAAATTACTTATTACTTAAAAGTAAGATGCCAAGACGTTGTTGCTACTATAGTCTCTGTGACAATATATGCTGTCATTATACTGTAGTGTCACTGAAGTTTCCAGGGTGTTTTACTTACCTTTTGCTATCAAAGGTGTTTGTTGAAGTCAATGCTTCCATATCCATTTGTATAGGCAAGGGAATTGTGCTAATTAATGACATATTTTCTATAGTGATTTTTTTATAACTACGTAGATGGAGAGTCTCAGTAATGAAAGAAGTGAGAAAAAAAGAGAAAGTTATGTTTGCCATCACTGCAAACCTTGAAGGATGATCTTTTTGGGTTTCCCACAAGTAGCCAAGTGTAACTCCCTCCTAAGGACTTGGCTGCTGATGCTCAAGATCAGTTTTGCTACCACATAACTTCTCTGGCCAGATGGATCCATCCTTTCTGGACTGGCTCCCTGACTTCACCTGGGACCTCCATCATTGCTTCAGCCCAATCTGACTGGGCTATGGCCAGCACTGGTAATCATTACAAGATCTTCTCTGCCCTCCTTCTCTTGAAAACTACCAGGTCTTCATACAGAAATTTTATAATTATTAGAGAAATTTTATAATTATTATGAATTCTGAAGGTGTGTCAGGACTCTAGTTTGAATCTGGATTATATGAGAATATGGTAGTAGACAGATAATATTAGACAGTTTCGGAATAAGATAATGAAACTAGCCCTTGGTCTTCTTCAGGTTATTATATCCAAGCCAGAGTCCATATTGCCTGAATTCTCCACTGTTTTGTTACATTAAATGTTGACATCCTAGGTTGCTCAGAGATGAGGTACTTTAAGTATTATTCTTGATAGTACAATAAGAACATATTCTGTCAGTCTGCAATGGCTGTAGCCTGGTACCACCAAAAAAATATTCCTAGGAGGGCCTCACACAATTGCCATGTAAAATTGCAGGCAGGTTGACTGCATTATCCACCAATTTGTCACATTTAAATTGCAGTTAAGACAAGCCCTAGTCCCGAGGCCTTGTATAACCCTTTCAGAGCCTGTGGCCTGTTCTCAGCAATGACAATAATGTATTTACTGGGTTTCAGGAGTGTAGAGTAGATTAGTCTACTTAGATTTAAGTAGACTTAAATATAAGCCAACAATTTGCATTAAAATCAAAGTATCTAAGGAAAGCAGTTGTATCTACAGGGAATCCTCTTTTATTCAGGTTTACTCTTATCTCATGCTTTGCTGCTCAAGAGGAAATCTGCTGTTGGTACCAGACAGCTAGATAATTTCTTTCTGACCGCTTTGATTCTTCTAGAAGCTTGTGGAGATCCAGGCTATTTGATACCTATGCTAGGTGGAAGGAAGATGGAAAAATTATTTATGAGCCGGTTTTTCAGATCAGCTGATTCCTCTGTCAGCTAACATGAATGATGATGATTGTCTTCATGAGAAGGTAGAACTCTAGTGCCTGAAAAGCCATGGTAAAGACAGTTTTTTCTTCCATTTTCTTCAGAATATGAGATAGTGATAGGATGTGATAAATGTTTATTCACTGTGAAAGGCAGAAAAGAGAGCTTTTTGTCTATCCACTTCTGACTGTCATTTTCATATTCTTCTCAGTTTCCCTTTTCAGAACACAACTGGGCTTGGGCTAGAAAGGAGAAAAGGAAGGAAAACCGCTGCAGGAGGAATCTTTTCAAGATGGTTCTTTTCACTGTTGCACTTACATTTTGTGAAATACCATTTGATTTTGTTTTGAAAAATTAATGTCAAAGACCAGAAGCTCAACTCATAAATGTCATATATATTTCAGCAAATGCTTCCAAGTTGGCAAGAGTGGAATGTTTCTGAGATATTTTATAAGTTAAAAGACAAAAAAATAAACTAGCAACAAAACCTCCCAGTGCTATGATATTTTTACTGTATGCACTTGTCAATAACCTCTGTCTTTAATCCTGTTCCATTTCAGTCCAAACTCTCAAGAAAACTAGCTGTGGTCATTGCTTGGATGATTGGGCTGTGGAGATAGGAATATTCCTGAAATTCACAGGGCAATTCTGAAGCCCTTACTGCACCATTAGAACTCCCCATACTTTGATATGTCTGGAATTTGGACCATTAATCACTGGTGTTGCTGATAACATTTCACCTTGGAACTATTCTAACACATATGCCTTTTGCAATAAACAACCTTTTGAACTTGCTGCTTAAATTTTACTGCTACCTTTCCAGAGTTAACACGTCAATTTTTCTAGCAATTGTACCTACAAGGTTACAAAACCAGAGGAGAAGTGATGTCATCATTTCTGCTAACACATAAGAATACTCAACTGAAATAACTTCGTTTCCCTTCTCACTATGCCAGTTTTGTTCAGTTGTGGTGGAATAACCCTTTGTAGCACCAGAATCCTAATAGATGGTAATCAGAGGTTTAAAGAAGCTCAGTGAAGAAATATATCATGGAAGAGGGAAGAATGGGGAAAGTGAAGAAGTCTAGCAGCTGTTATTAAGTATAATCTTGACTTTTGGTGGGCAAGATATGTATTGCATTCAGATTTTCAAGCCTGTCTAGCAGACTCGATGGCAGAACTGTAGCAGGAACTGCAAGTGGTAAGATGCTACATGGAAATCCTGGCATCAATGAGAAAAACTTTATGCTCTTACTGTTTCAGGAATCTCACAGATGCAAACTCAAGAGTAAATTAAGCTCAAGATCTGAAAACCTAGTCCATGATGCTTCTATGTGAAGAAGTTAATTATTCTTTAAAAGCCCAGTTGAATGCTACTCAGTTTTGCAGATGATTGTTTGAGTAGAGCTAATGTGCATGAGAGGGGCATGGGCATGATTTTGTTAGCCAGAGAACATCAGTCAGGGATGTCAGGAATACATAAACTAAAGCAGAATGAAAAAAGAAAAAGGATGGGTAAACAAGAAAGAGAAATTAAAAGAAAGCATATTTCTATTTTCACTGGTTGCTGTTTTGTATCCTTCCTTTGGTAACTTTTTTATTTTCATAGATCTTCTCACTCTATTTCTGTGGCTTTCTATTTTTCATTATATGTTCATGTTGGGTAGAATACTTGAAGCAAAAGAAATGAAAACCAAATGTCACTTATCCTGGAACTATCAAAGACTTCCTTTTGACTCCAAGTTAATTCCTCCTTGTTTTGTTCACTAAATTTGGACAGAAAAGAAATAATCTTGAGGCAAATGGAACATTTCAACAAGCAAATATATAACTATTGAAAAGTTCAAAATATACATTTCTTAGTTTGCAGTGTGTAGTGCTGAACCAAAGCTCTTCAAATTAATATCCTTCATAGCAATCAAAGTAGAATCAGAGTTTAGTGAACTCTAAGAAATTGTCCACCACTCTGTCCTGTCAGAAATGGTTTCTGGAGATATCAAGTAGGGAAACACAGAAAGAAGAAATAGAAGGATAGACTTCACCAAAACAGTTCCCCACTCTCTTCTTCCCCTTCTCTCCTTCATTCTTCATTTCTTCTCAGTGAAACTGCTGTTGATGTTACCCATATCAGAAGCAATTAAAATGATTTTCTTTATTTAAGTCGTGGTTCTAGTTTGTAGTAGAGTTTCAGCTGTTAGGTTTTCAGATTAAATGAGATTAAAACAATACTTTATCTCTTTGCAATTAGATGAAAAGTCTTTCTTAAGAAGCCTGTGATTTCCAAAAGTACTTAGACCTAAAACACCCTGTGTCAAATTCAATATGTATTCGATTTAACGCACATCAAGCCTGACATCCCAAAATCAAACCAAGGAGAATATATTCAGGTCTGTAGTGTGCTGAAATCTCAGTTACCAGTGTTAAAGATTTCAACTGCTTAGCCCCAAATGGTCACACATCTCTAAAGCTCCCATGGTGATCAGGGTATGAAGGGACTTATTGCTGTTGCAAGGGGTGTTTCAAAATCCATTCCTCTAAAAACATAACCCCTCTTCATCCTCCATTTTCAGGCACTATTTCTGCTGACACAGAACAGATTCCTCAAGTGTAAGTCCATCATACAAGCATTTATATATTAACCTTTATAGATTAACCTCATAAACCACTGGGACCTGATCTGTTTTGGAGCTCTTGCCCCAAATGCTATTGACAGCGCTGTGGGTTGGAGATGAAACTTCTGATACAACAGGATTCATGTTCCTCATCCTCCTGTAGAGGCTTGGCAGGGATTTATGGGACTTTAACTGTGCCCTCTCAGCAAAAGAAAAGAGGTACTTCCTGGAGGCCGCTCACACTGTTCATGTGGCTACTTCTCTTTTGTAGAAAAAGCAGTGGACTGAATGGAAGACAAGTTTTCTGGCCACCTTGTCTTGTGCATGGATTTCAAAATACATGTCATAACTTTAAGAATAACATCTGAGTATTCCAAAAAGTGGTATGCAAAATGTACAGAAATATGTAAAGATACTGAACTTGGCATGAGATTTTGCTTAAATACTTCAGCTGAAAATAGACTTTGCAATGTAACAGATGTGCTATATATGCTTTTTCAGCTAAAAAGGGAAGATACTGGCTATGCTAGTGGCTTTGCTTTCATGAGGAAATCCAGGATTTCAATCTCTCAGTTGCATAGATAAGTGGAAAATTTTAAGTAAGACAAATAAAATTAAACTATTTCATTCCAGTCTGCATACCACTTTAAAGTACAGTAGCTTCAAAAAATGAGTTCATAAAAAAACATTGGCTGTCTTTCATGAAGTTCAAACATATCATTATTAGAGAGTTATAAACCTGCAGACAGTGGAGATTCCTTTTATGAAACAGCCATCTAAAATGGTTATGGACTGATCAATACATTTCTTATGAATAATCTCTTCTAGATCTTGGGCAAATGTGACTTAGCAGTTGTGACAGAAATGGAGCCAAGTGGTGCTTTATAGATTTGAACCATCTGGTAGCTGGTTCAATGAGGTGAAGTCTGTAATTGACCTGTTGAATAGTGAGAGAAATAATAGAAAAAACAAATAAAAAGTAATGATATAGTGTAGGCTGGATTTTTAGCTGACTTTTTTATTGCTTGTATTTCTAGTATAAAAACATGTGGTGGTAGCTTTTCTTATGAAAAAGCTGAAATGAAGCTACAAAAAGCTTATTGTCATCCATTTTTGTGGAAAAAAAAAAAATGGATTGTGTATATTAGATTTTTTCAATCTTTGATGTTAAAAATGTTGCTTCCCAAATGCCTATAAGGTGACTGAAGAAAATGCATTTTCTGAAAAAAAATAGGGATTCTGTGCCTCATCTGGTACAGATAATCCGTACAAGATAATGCTGAGCACCTGCATCCCTCATTGAAGTCAGAAGGAGCTAAAGATGAAAATTTTTTTATGTTAATTAATGACATACACACCATTGTCAGAGAGATCCTTGAATGTAGAGACCTTGAATTAATAACCTACTATTATAGATAAACTATTTTTATTTATTATAAAATAATAAACGATTATTATTTCAAGATTCTCTTTTAATAGGAGCTGCTGTCCTAACTGAGCTCCTCTCTGTTGTCACACTTATGGAGGGAGTATTAAATACGCAAGACAGAAATTCAAAAGAACAAGATATTCAGTGAAGGAAATGAAGTAGATAGAACAATATACAAAGAGAAGGATCATGCAACTTCGGTGTTTTGGCAAAGATGAGAGAGAGAGAGAGAAACATCTAAAAATCCCACATCAAAACAGTCAATAAAATAGATCTCTTGTTCTGCCTGTTCTGGTTTGAAACTGTGTTATTACCGATCTGCTGCTATTTCTACAGCCTTCACTGATAAATCACCAAAGCATCACGTATTTTTGTGAAAGTCTCTCAACTTTCTCTATTTGCAGTTTTTTAGAGCTGCACAAGTAATTAATGTTTAGGCCAAAAGGGGTGAATCTGTTCCTCAGAGCTTTGAACACAGGATGTTGGAATCTGAGTCTCAAATCCTTCTTGCAATGCTCCTGAAATTATTTCTGCAGGTTGGAACTGTTCTAGAAAAAAAATCCACCTGAGAATAGCCAACAATATGAGCTGAAGAAAACCTGCATTTAGTTATCACCTCCAAGTCATGGATATTTGCAGACATCAGTCTGCTGTCAGCAGCCAACACTCAACAGATATTTTCATATAAATATCTTGCATTTCACTTGGGTAGATTAACTAGAGTATTCTTGAAGGCATATAACCATCTCTGCTGATTTGGAAAAGGATTCATTAATTCTTTCAACAGTTGCTGCCTGTATCATCATTTGGGTGTGTTTTATTCCAGAAGTCCGTCCTACTGATTCCTTCAATCCCCATACTAATAGACACTGTTCATGCCAGGAATGATCTGATGTCACATCCTTGGTGAGTGAAAGAACCTACTAACTCTTGGATTTGTTGTTATTACCATATATCTTTTGCGATTCTGGCAGAAAACCAATAGGAGCAAACTGTAAAATAAGCAGTGGGAAATTCTGCACCTGACCCTCCTGTTTCACAGAATGAATGTTGCAGGGAGGCTGCAGGTGACTTAAGAACCTCTGTAGTTTCCAACATAAGTGGTGGGGAAAATGCATCTGCTGAAAATGAGATGGCTCTCAAACTAAAATATGTAACACTTTTGAGGAAGTGTAACTTTATTTAATATGGAAAATCTGAACAAAGAAAAATTGGAACTGTGGGAATGTGATTTGGAGTAGGATTAGAAAGTTGGAAGTTATATTCACAATGGAAGTTATATTTACATTCCAACATAAAGTATAACAACCTGGAAATTAGAGGGTTAAATGCAGGTGCTACTTCCAGGATGGAATGTAATTGACATGCAGAAAATCTGTTCAATGATAATTCACCACACACAGAGCCTACAACCAGAAGCACATGCTAAGAGGGAGGAAATGGAGTGTGGAGCAAAGTGGAGACATCTTGGCCAGGCTCTGTTGAAATCCTTGCAGGGATAGGAACACAGTGGTGCCATGCAGCCAAAAACTGCACAGCAACTGACACCCATGGGAGAGAGGAGATATTTTGCTGCTGAACCAGCAGCTGAGGAGAAATTTCTCTCCTTGGGTGAACTTGTTCCTTTATAATATAATTGCAATATCAACACACATGCCACTCCATGCCAAAATTACCCACCTCCCAGGTATGACCACCCCACTGGGCACGCACCCCACATTTTATTTGCTATGTTTTTGAGAGTGAAGCAAGAGAATTTTACACCAATCAATAATAAAAGTATGTATGACCAAAGCCACTACAGCTCCATCTAAATGTAGAAGACTCCATTGTAGCTTTGAAATCAGTTATAGGTCAAACTTGTCTTCTTCCACATCGGGACACCTTTTGGCTAAGAACCATATTGTATGGATGTTAAATTATTATCTTGATCTAGATTTCATTAATGGTTAGAGTTTGTCTGTATGTTGCTTTAAATTTGTCTCTGCAGTCCATCACTATTACTGTCAATCTTTAGACCTTAACCTGTCACAATTTCCTATTATCAGTGTGTTAATTAATAAAGTGTGTAATTTTGTGAAGTGTTTAGAGTGAGTCCTTTATGGTACCAGCTCCTGCTGGCAGTGAAGAACATACCTGACTAAGAGTGGGGAGATGCAGGAGAGACTCTCTCTCTCTGAATTGCAATAAAGGTTTCACCCCAATATGCTGTTGGTGCATGGCCCCAAACAAGTCACTGCTCTCGGGGTACAGCGGGCTGATCACTGTGGCCCCTACAATGGGGCACTGACAGGCTGCTTGGGCACAAGGTTTTTAGCCTTCCTGGGGCATTGACAGACCAACTAAAACCAAAGTGTTTGAAGAAACCCTCCTTTCATGTGAAAAGGACACATAATCTTGCAAGTTGTATCCTTGTAAGTCCTACCAACCATTCTCCAATGTGAGGAAGAAAGCAATGGCAGTCTTACTGTCCTGCAGACAGCAGAGGCTAAACCAAACAGTCAGCTGTAGGTAACGATTAATTTTAAAATTCCAGTCTTCAAAAGAGGTCTACCTAAATGAAGGCTCAGCGAAAATTGGGGAAGAAAGTAAAAGATTGGCTCATGGAGATGCTTATTCATCGTTTATTCCAATATCCATTATGGTCTTATTTACAATGATTGATGACTGTTTTTAGATAATTGTGTATCAAAAGTATCCTTCTAAGCTGAAGCCTTATTGCCAAGCCTAGAAGCTATGTAAAGACATAGAAGCAATTTATTTATATAAAACTGAAGTAAAAATGAGTGGTTCAATGTGTTTATAATGGGTTATCAATATAGCTTGTGTTCAGTTGTGCTGTGAGAAAAATTTTAATTCTGACCATATGTTATATCATAAAGAAAGGTATGATTATTTAGGCTTGAATTCTGTTGATTTTGTGTGGGTGTTTTGGGTAGTATACAAGTTTCTTTTAGGCTGTACTAATGAAGGCTATGATCCCTTATGATCCAAATGGAACAGAATATTGTCTGATTTCTTACCATGAATACCTGAATTTTTTTGTTTTGGGATTAGTAAAAACTATTTTCCATGAAAATTTTGTAAATCACCCCCTTCAGTTAAACAGGTTTAGAGATCTGTGCTACGGCACTTGAATGTTGTAAATGACATGAATATAATACTGCTATAGAAAGAAGAAACCCTCCTTCCAAAATTGCTAAGCACCTAAAATTTCCATGTAAAAAAATATTTCTCTTCCTTTCTGCACAGTAATAATCTCTTTGCCACTGATCATTATTGTGATTGTCAATGTAACACAAGAGTTGTTGGCTACATAACAGAAAAAAACTTTTATCAGAAAATCAGCCCTAATACTGCAAGATGATTTACAAAAGTGCAGACTTAAAGGTAGACCTTTAAACCTCTGGTTCTGTTACCAGAATCAGAGAAGAGGACATATTATGCAAGGACAAAAGTAATGGGGTTATTTTGTAATTTTGGTTTTAAATTATGACTTATATTTCCTTGGTAGTTTTTAATTACATAAGCAGATTCAACTCACATGCCAAAAACTCTGAAGTTTCTGTTCATTTTTTTCTCAGGGCTTTCAACTAAGGTGGTTTTTTAATTTTTATTTTATGGACAGATCCAGTTGTTCTCAGATGGAATTTTGCTGGCATAACGCTTCAACATTGCTACTACAGACATACAGGATCAGTTGTCTATTGTATCTTTCAGAAAAAAATCAAGAGGAAATGGTAGTTATAATAAAAATTAATAATTTTATAATAAAATATTGAAATACAGGAAAATGTATTTTACCATACAGTTTATATATGTGTACAAGTACAGTCTTGTTACTAAAAAAAGAAATTAATTTTGCTCTTTAAATGAGTCAGAGAAACATAATAGTTTTTAATTTTTAAGCCAAATATATTTTCTGTCTAACTGCTTAAAATTTCCATTAAAGGGTCAAGAAGACTTAAAAAATTCAAGATGAGGAAGTCTAAGCATTTTCCTGTATATATTTAAATATGTATATAATTTTGAAATAAATAGCATTTTATTATATACTATTAGGTACACTGTTTAAGTCAGTAAAGGTGATAATAATAATATTTTTTTGTTTATCATTATGCATGTAGAGTTTTATAGGTATGAATAAGGACTGAATTTTGAATTGTTCCACGTAAGACATAAAAATGAAAGAAAAGAGAAAGTAAAAGAAAAATCCTTCCTCTTTCTGGGCAAACATTACCTTGATTTATGATCCAGTCATATGGAATAAGGAACATTTTTTAATCTTTTTCTGCCTTGCAAAAAGGATATTAGGGACTGTAAAAGCTGTTTCTGTATGGCTGATCCAGTGTCCAGTTGAACATATCTAGCATATTAAAAAAATAATTTACCAATGGTGTTGCGATTATATTTCATATGCTTTAGAAGAAGTTAGCTCACAGGAAAAGGGCCTACCTTTCTTTCAATGAAAGTCCTTGGTTCTTTCTTATGATTTCTCTTGTCATTCTGAGGAAAAGAACTGTTTGCATTAATGATGACTTATTTTCAGAGGCTATTTTATAAGGTAGTTAGCCTAAGGTAGGAAACTGTGAATTATCATTATTAAAGGGAACTCAGAAAGAAAAAAACCCATGTTTACAATAAATCACACAATTATAACACAGCAAAGAAAATCTTTGAGTTTTAAGATTTATAGAGCAGGAGACCACTTTTAACACAAAAATTTTTGACATCAAATGTTAATGTGCTGTTCTCCTCAACATGCATATGACCTATAGTGTAAAAGTTTTTCTTACATCCGTAAAGCAGAAATACACAGAGATTGTATATCATGTTCAATAAAATATTGACTCATGTTTACTCCCTTTCTTTCAATGCAGTTTCCTATATGCTATTCTGAAAAGTAGAGTCTTCAAAAGACAGCCTGATGGATCTGGAGAAACAAAATAAATACCACTTGACCCCTTCCCTATGGCCCTTGATGAACCAAAACTGGGAAACCTAAGTGATATATGTGAATCAGAATTTTTGAAGAGACTGAAATTCTACCTATGCCCAGGAAAAGAAATTTATCTCTTGAAATATGTCACAGTGCAACATCAAGTGACAGGAGGAAATATGATTGTCTCTTATAAACTAGTGACTGCCTTATTAACTCTGGTTTTAAAAGTGCACATGCACAGGGAAACTCATTACTGCCAAGAGATGTATGGAGTAAGCAAAGCAAGCGTTATTATCCCAGGGGTCACTGACAGTAGCAGGAAATAGGATTATTGCTCAGAGGAGAGTGGACAGGATGCTAGATAAATGTAATTTCAATAAGAATTGACTTGTGTAGAATTGATTTAATGACCTTTAAAAGCACATTAACTGTGTAAATCTCTGTGGCCATCCTATGTTCTTACTGTAATATCAGTCTTTTGTTTCTTTCCCCAAGCACACTGTATTATGGCATCCAGGGATATTGGGACCCTAGGAGAATGGTAGCGAAATCCTTCCTTGCTGGGTACCTTAGAGGCTGCTGTGATTCCTCTCAAACTGTTTCTCTACATCCCCGCCTCCCTGTTGTCAGGGACAGAGGGTGTATCCTTGCTCGGGAGCTGGCAACCCATGACCCTGACACTGACACCTGTGACTATGAATACTCCCTGAAATCTATGAACCCCTTGATTCTAAATTTTGGATTGCATGGGTTAACTTTTCAGAAGCAAATTTTAAACAAAAAGCATATGCTGGTGATTCCAGTTATGCTTTACTAGAATAATACATAGCAAAACTCATCCAGATACAATCTGCCAAAATAGGCAAAATATACTCAACATATTATTTTTCTCAATTCAATCCAGTTCAAATCATGCCCTTTGAATTTACAGAGTCTTTCATTTTATGTCTTGCCCCTGCATGCTCTTTCCATGTTTGCCTTCTGTGTTCCCCCTTATTTGGCAGGTAATTCTCTCATCTCACCCTGCTCCCTCGGAGAGCAATCTGATTGTGGTCTGCCTCTATGTCTCTAGGATTCTGATTAATTTATTAATCAAAGATAGGAATACTATGTTCTGTATCTGCAGTTATACACTTTGTACTGCATCTTCCTTATTCTTTAAAGGAATCATTGTCTGAGGTGTTTTTGTCAAACAAGTTGCTACTGATACACCTTTTTGCTGGCATGGAAAGAGTGTGATGTTCCATTTCAGCATATGCTGTAAATGGAACCAGCATCTTGGCTAAAATCAGACTTGTATTTTGTGTTTGACCAAGAAAAGATAATTAGTAGTCTGGGAAATGTAACAGTGCTCTGCAGTACTGTTGTACCTATTCTGCAGGTAAGTACCATTATTTCCTTAAAGATAATTTTTAACAAGACTACTAGTGCACTATGTTATATATGCTTCTGAAATGTCTAATTTCCTTCAGAATAGGGGCAGCCTGAAAATCTGTACATGAAAGAAAAGAGATTCCATCTTATTTCTTTCTCTGGACCAGGCCCAGAGAATGAGCAGTATTGGAAGTGCTCCGCGATTAACTAGGCTAGGTACTGAAGTTAATGGATTTTCTGAGCATGAAAATTCCATATTTATTTGAGTACATTCAATGAATAAGTTAATTTTTAACTCATTGGTCTGCTATCTAATTTGTGTCAATCTTCCAAGCAACCTACTTTAGTGGATTTAATACATTTGTAAAATGGATCGATCATAGATTTGGTATAGAAATCTGAATGCATTTATAATGACATATGGCCATTAAAGATGGCCTACTACTAATTCTGTGTTACTGCCTGCTAAATCTACAGACCTTGATAATTTTTGACAAGTTATTTTATGTTCTGATGGGTTTGTGTTTGATGATGGTTAATTCCACAGCAAAAGATTAGTCTCAGCTTTTGACAGTTATTGAAGAATACATGGAAAATAAAATGTGTAACTAAGTAAAATTCTCACATCCTGGAACATACTTTATTTCACACATAAGAAAAGGTAATAAAATTACACTATAGCCAGAGGGAGAGGATTTGCAGCACCGTTTTTTTTATTATTTTGGACTAGTATTAGTCGTGCCATTTTTGTCTGGGAACAAAGTACATTTTCTTTCTAGTAGCTGGTACAGTGGTGTTTGGATTTAGTGTGAGAAAAATATTGATAACACACTGTTGCTTTGGTTGTGGCTAAGTGGTGCTTTCTCCAAGTCAAGGATTTTTCAGTGTCTCATGCATTGCTAGTAAGGACCTGCATAAAGAGCTCTGCAGGAACATGGCCAAGACAGCTGACCCAAGCAGCCCAAATGAGTATTCCATGGCATAGAATATCATGCCCAGCATATAACCTGGAAAAGTTACACATTGGGGGTCTGATTGTGGAATGGTCTAGGTTTCCGTTAGCAGGCGGTGAACAATTTTATTTTGCATCCCTTGTTTTTCTTGTGTTCTGTTACTCCCTTTCCCTCTTCTTATCATTACTATTACTATTATTATATTTTGTTTCAATTATTAAGCTGTTCTTATGTCAACTCATGAGGTTTACCCTTCCCTTTAAATTATTCTCCCTCATATGGGGACAGGAGGCAAGGGAAGTGAGCAATCAGCTGCATAGTATTTAGCTGCTGTCTGAGGTTAAACCTTGACAATAGTCTACAGCAATTTGAAATGTCCTAAAAGTTAAGAGCAAATTTATTTAAGAAGATGGTTTTCATGATAGCTTATAAAGTGTTTGCTTTGGGCAGTAATATTAGATAAGACAAAGCACCTTATATTTTTTTTAAATTAGGCTCAGATCAGCCTGAGAGACCACCCTTGAGTAATGTTACAACCAGGTGACACCTGAGCCTGGGAAAGTTTCCTTAGGAATGGGCATGAACTAGAATTTAGAAAGTTAGGATGGGAGTTGATATTACAGGGTATCACACTATAAAGTTGATCTAACATTCCTCTGCAGACATTGTGGCACTAAGTAATAAAGAAAAATTAAAAGTTAGATCCTTTTCTTAATGTATGTGGCAAAAGCCCCTTCTCTATGCTTTGTAAAAGAGAGCATACACAGAACTCCACTCTGTGTAAACAGAACTCTCCTTTCAGCTAAAGTAGACTGTGGTTATTTGTTTATGTCTGAGATTTGATTGCAATTGTGGATCATGAAAATAGAAAGAAACAAGTGGTGTGCACAAATGCAGTCTAGAGGAGCATCCAATCAAGGGACAATCAGTCACTGAGTATTTCTTTATGACTGTGACAGCTGAGGCTTATTGTAAATGCTACTACCTTTGTTGAGTAAAAAAATTAAAATTAAGATAAAAATAAGTAATTGTAAGTTGAAAACTGGAGTATCTCATGGCAGACAGTGTGGCCTGAATTCTGCACTTTCTTTTGCCAGTTTAAATGAAATACGATTTACATCTGTAAAAACAGAAGAGGAATCAAACATTTTCAGTGTGCATTTTGAAGAATCCCCCTTTAGCCATACAGTTTATTTTTGAAGCTTAAGAAATTTTCTGACTCAAATATTTGTCCTTAATAGGAGTTTCTCACAGGGTGAGCTAAAATGCTCTATTTATTTTAACGAGTCTTTTCCCATAATTGAATAAATCCTTCAGAATATGAAAGTATGTAACTGTTCAATATGGTAAGTATTAAAGACACACTGACATTTTCCATTGTTTTATTTTTATGCAAGAAAAATGACCTAGTACTACATGGATCTGTTAATCACTTGCCTCGTTGGGTGCTAACTGAATGCTCTGTTGTAATGGTACTGTAGCTCTTTCATAATTTAATTAAATTTATCTGAGTTGATTTTATTTTAGGTTTTTTTTCAGTTTTGGTTGTACATGACCTTATGTACCAAGGACCAGATCCTAATCTTGTTCATTGCCCTTTTGCACTGTAAAAGTTGTGGGAAGAGGCGGCAAAGACACAACTGTAAAGCAAGTGGTGATTTTTTTGCCACAAGGAAATATTGTGTTTCTCTGAGAAACATGTGAATGAATCAGTGTTAACTTGTTCAGTTGACTTTTGTCTGTGTGGATTAGAGATGGAGGGCCTATGAAAGGAATATGTCTCAATTAGATGCTGGTTTTCCCTCATATAATTTATTAATAGTAGCATCTTTTTTCCATTTAGATATATTCAGAATGAAATTTACAACCAGAAAAGGAAATGTCACAATACTATTAAAAGAATTGTTTCCTGTATTTCTCAGTTTAGAAATGTAAAATGTCTTGTAATTTTGCAAAGAAATCCGTCCTCCTGAGATGAAAAACTGGTAGGAATATACCAATTAAGGTTTTGAGTGAGTGGCTGTCTAAGTTGATTAACAGTGCCCCAAAGCCATTGTAAAGGTAAATCTTCTGACATTTTACATAGGTCATTCTGACATCAGTGTTAATGATAAGTTAGCAAAACATCATCATCTATCATCTTCATGCTATTGGACGGCCTGACTTCCTATATTATCAGCTGGGACAATGTAGAAGTCAGGTCAAGCAGTCCCTGGCTTGTTTAAGCATGTGCACCATATTCTAAAACAAATAGCAGGTGTTTCGCTAAGATTATGGGGGAGAGAAATCTTTGTGTGCCTTATGGCTGATGTCTTCATTTCTACTCCCAGAGGATGTATAAGTACAGCATCTTATCTGACATAAATTCAATTATGGGTAGGTCTGCCACAGAAGAATAACTCCTGAGTGTATACTAATTGACTGAATAGGAACCAGAGCGTATAATGAGGCTTTTCCTCTTCTGAACCTGACACACACTAAGGGAATGCCACATAGGAGTAAGGGGACTTTCAGAATTACAGAGCTCAAATACCTATGAATATGTAAAAAAAATATTAGATGGCTTAGTATTTTTTGTTATGGAATACCTAAAAGGATTATACACA